CACACACACACACACACACACACACACACACACACACACACACACACACACACACACACACACACACACACACACCTTGAATACCACATCCTATTTTCCCCACTCTACTCTTACCCATTTTTGCTTCTCCACATCTCTCTCAAGTTGGACCTTAGATGCACCATGCCTATTGATAAATCTGAGGATAGAAATTAAAATAGGAAAGCCAATCTAAGTGTTTCTCATTTGAATTCCTGTAATGCTGCTTATCTAAGGGCAGAACTTGGTGCATTGCAAACAATTCTGATGCAAATCTCTGAATCAAAACTTCAGTTATTTCTATTAAATTCAAGCATCATATGATGTCTTCATTTTTCTCTTTGGCTTTTCTGTTTCTAAGTCATATTCATCTTTGTCAACAGTTGCAGGTGTTATGCAGTCCAACACTGAAAATGCCAGTCATTGCTAAAGCAGCAACCAGTTTGCCACATAATTACTTCCTTGCCCTATTCTGCTGTCCATGTTATTTTGTTTTGAGCAGCTTCTTTGTTTAATCCACCAAATTTAAGTAGTGATGGAACTATAGTCCCATAATTCAAAATTTACCTTGTTTTCATTTCATGCTTTTACCAGCTCACACCCTGCAGCTTACCTCCTCTCTTGCTGTTGCCTTTCCTGTCCTGTTCCCTCTTACCAGCCTCACTTCTGTCTCTGTTTCTCTCAGGAGTTGTAATGAAAAACCAGCACTTACCTTGTGGCCCCTCTCTGCTTCTGCAGAATTTAAACTTATAACTAAAAAAATAAAAGTTACCGTATATACTCAATCATAAGCCGGTTCGTTTATAAGCTAACCCCCCAAGATGGATATGTAAAAATGGAAAATTTTTATAACCTGTTCATAAGCCGACCCTATAATTCAGGGGTCAGCAAACTTTGGCTCCCGAGCCATCAGGATAAGCCGCTGGTGGGCCGAGATGGCTTGTTTACCTCGAGCCTCCGCAGGCACGGAGGTAACCTAAGTAAACAAAGTGTCCTGGTGCTCCAACTGCTTACTCTGACAGGCTGGGACAGCAACTGGTGGGGAAATTTTTGAGGGGGGGAGAAGCTGGGAGTCAGGGGAGTAACCCCTGTGACCACTCCCCACATGACCCCATCCCTAGCCCGGGACCCCCACACTCTCCCCATCCCTTATCTGGGGAGGGCCAGGGGAGGATGTCTCTGGCCTGGCTGGAGCTGGTCCGGCAGGCTGGGCAGCGCAGCCACAGCCTGCTCTGGGGGGGGCAGACCAGGCGGCGCGGCCGCAGCGTGCTCCAGCGGGCTGGGCCTGGCGGCGCGGCCGCAGCATGCTCTAGGGGGCCAGACTGGGTGGCGCGGCCGCAGCATGTTCCAGAGGGCTGGGCCGGGTGGCGCGGCCGCAGCGTGCTCCAGCGGGCTGGGCGGCGCGGCCACAGCCTGCTCTGGGGGGCAGGGCCGAGTGGCACAGCTGCAGCCTGCCAGCCCCGGAGCTGCAGCTGCTTCGGAGGCTGGGGGGAGAGCCAGAAGTGGAGAGACTCTGGCCCCGCCTCTTCCCTTCTGGCTCTGCTGCCTCTCCTTGCTCCCTCTGTTGGGGGGAGGGGCTGTGTCCCACCTCTCCCTCTCTATACCCATTCATAAGCCGACCCCCTTCTCTGGTGCTTCCCTTTTTTACTAAAAAAAAATTCGGCTTATGAACGAGTATATACGGTACTTTTCTATCCCTTATGGCTGCAAAGAAAACATCTTCTAAAGGTGAACCCATGCTGTGCTGTATTAGTGAGTCTGCAGATACAGGAATGACAGCTTTAAGGGCAAATTGTATTTCCCGCACAGAGGGTACGTCTACACTGCAATAAAAAACCTGCTGCACTGAGTCTCAGAGCCTGAGTCATCGACGTGGGTCCACAGGGCTCAGGCTGCGGGGCTAAAAACTGCGGAGTAGACATTTGGGCTGGATCATGGGCTCTGAGGACCTCCCCCTCTCACAGGGTTTCAGAGCCCGGGGTCCAGCCTGAGCCTAAATGTGTACACTCAATATTTAGCCCCACAACCCTAGCTCTGCAAGCCTGAGGCAGCCCAGGCCAGCTGTGGTCATGCCACGAGTCTTGTATTGAACTGTGGATGTATCCAGAGGCTCTGACCAGCAATGTATATGAGCCCATTATGCATGAAAGGAGTTGCACGGAAATCCGTGCTTAAAGTTAGGCACATGCATTTATGTACCCTGCTGAATTGGGTCCATAAAGCTCAAGTATTCAGGCTATAAGTGAAGTGTGGGGGGATGAGAAGTGTAAACCACAACAAAACCCTTGTGTGGTGCAGGCTGTTACTCCAGGCTATGGGTCAGCATAGCAGCTGTAGTTTCCTTCCTGCTTCCCTCCTCCCGCCCTCGCCCATCCACCCGCCCCCACATATGCCACTTGTTAGGACCACTGGATTCATGTAACTGCAGATCCAGCACCCATTGTCCAGCCTGCTGTCCATGCCACCCTCTTTGCTGGCCTGTTCAGGAACCACTAAATGCAAACATAGGGCACACAGGTCCTCAGAGTTTAATAAGGAAGCTCCCTGACCCAGTACATCCCATCCCAGTTTTCCTATAAAAATATCTTTGAGACAGGAGACACAGCCACAAGGCATGGACTGTAGTCTTGGGGAAGCAGTCTGGGGTTTATAAACAACAGCCATCCTGCAGACCCTGGCTTTATGGCCCACCACCAGGGTTCAGTGAACAGAAAGGGCTGGAACTCCTCACACTGGCAGGGGATCAGGCTAGCTCTTGGTTGACCTCGCTAGAGTTTCTCAAAGCAGCAGAAGAGCAGGGCTGGCTGGGAAATGTAATTCCTTATAATAGCCATAATTAGCCCTATTTTGCAAGGCACGATGGGAAATATAGTCAGTACATAAACAGTACCCTTGCTAAAATTTGGGGGAAGAGACCTGGAGAGAGCCAGGCTTTTTTTTATGGTCTCTCCTGGAAGATGTGAACAGTTAAGTCTACAGACCTAGTGTTAGGAGCAGTAGCAGAAAATATTAATATTATGGTACCACCCAAAAGCCCCAGTTGGGACAGGGCCCCATTGTGGTGGGTACTGTGTAAACAGAAAAGACAATCCTTTTCCTGAAGGGTTTATAATCTAAGGCCCTAGATTGCTGGTTTTTCCTTTATTGAGGTGTATTTAGACCAGATTAAGGTATGTGACATGTGTCTTACTTAGATAAGCAGCTTTTGGTACAAGTGACTCATAAGTATTTGGTGCCTAGACACGATAGTGATGGGCACAAGTAATGTCTATAACAGGCATCGGCAACCTTTCAGGAGTGGTGTGCCGAGTCTTCATTTATTCACTCTAATTTAAGGTTTTGCGTGCCAGCAGGGCCGGCTCCAGGGTTTTGGTCACCCCAAGCAGCCAAACAACAACAACAAAAAAGCCGCGATCGCGATCTGCAGCGGCAATTCGGCGGGAGGTCCTTCGCTCCGAGCAGGAGTGAGGGACCGTCCGCCGAATTGCCACCGAACAGCTGGACGTGCCACCCCTCTCCGAAGTGGCCACCCCAAGCACCTGCTTGGTAAGCTGGTGCCTGGAGCCGGCCCTGCGTGCCAGTAATACATTTTAACATTTTTAGAAGGTCTCTTTCTATAAGTCTATAATATATAACTAAACTATTGTTGTATATAAAGTAAATAAGGTTTTTAAAATGTTTAAGAAACTTTATTTAAAATTAAATTAAAATGCAGAGACCCCGGACCGGTGGCCAGGACCTGGGCAGTGCGAGTGCCACTGAAAATCAGCTCGCGTGCCGCCTTCGGCACGCATGCCATAGGTTGCCTACCGCTGGTCTATAAAGAGGTATTGTTAGCTCATGGGTGGGATCTTGCAAGGGTTGATTGCCAGTTGTAGCTTTTCTCCAGTGAGGGGCCTCCACCGATGGAATTTGATCCCCTTGGAGCTCTGCCAGAACCAAAGTTTGGCAAGCTTCAGGGTCTGACATAAGGCCCTTTAAAAATGGTTTGTATGAGTGCTTATTTTTGTTCAGTTTTGGTTATTTTGTATTAACAGTTGATCTAGTAAGACATTGATGATAGTAATGCAAGGGACAATTAGGTTGCCATCACTTGCTGCTAACTTATCAATAGGGCCCTACCAAATTCACAGTCCATTTTGGTCAATTTCACAGTCATAGGATTTTAAAAATCGTAAATTTCATGATTTCAGCTATTTAAATCTGAAATTTCACAGTGTTGTAACTGTAGGGGTCCTGACCCAAAAGAGTTGTGAGGGGGGTCGCGGTACTACTATGCTTACTTCTGTGCTGCTAGCGGCAGCGCTGCCTTCCGAGCTGGGCAGCTGGAGAGCGGTGGCTGCTGGCCAGGAGCCCATCTCTCAAAGCAGAGCCACTGCCAGCAGCAGCACAGAAGTAAGGATGGCATGGTATGGTATCGCCACCCTTACTTCTGTGCTGCTGCCTGCAGAGCTGGGCCCTCAGTCAGCAGCTGTCACTCTTGGCCACCCAGCTCTGAAGGCAGCACAGAAGTAAGGGTGGCAATACTGCGACCCTCCTAAAATAACCCTGTGACACCCCCTCGCAACTCCCTTTTGGGTCAGAACCCCCAGTGTGAGAAACGCTGGTATCCCTCCATGAAATCTGTATAGTGTAGGGTAAAAGCACACAAAAGACCAGATTTCATGAGGGGAGATCAGATTTCACGATCAGTGACGCATTTTTCATGGCTGTGAATTTGGTAGGGCCCTACTTATCAAACTTGTTTTAAGCTTTTATTTATTTATTTATTGTATAGGCCTAGCTGCTATGGCAACAGGAATTCATAGAAAACAAAATAAACCAGAATAAAATTAAAAAGACAGATGGCAAAGCAGAGTCATTCTGAATAGTAATACAAACAAAGGGAATAGTTGTTTCACTTACATCAGGTAAACCAGAAGTAACTCCACTGAAGTCAATTGTGTTTACATAGGTGTACATGAAAAGCGAATCAGGCTCAATATCCACAAATATCACCAACCATCAAACTGAAGAATGGTCAAGTTCTTTCTAACAGGTTTCAGAGTAGCAGCCGTGTTAGTCTGTATCCGCAGACTAACACTGTACTCCTGTTCTTTTTGCAAGTTCTTTCTGTTTCTTCCCCTCTATTCCCGCTGGGAGCCAAACTTTAAGAATGGAGAAACCAGATATGGAAGGAGAGAGAAAAGGGGGCATGCAGAATGTCTAGCATGGGGTATATTGCGGGAAATTTCAGGGAGTTCCTGAAATAGAGGGGGATGGGTGGGTGGCACACGGGAGCTTGTGAGATGGAATGCAAGGAGCTCCTGATGTGTGCCCAGCCTACGTAGGCTTACAAAGTATGTGACCCCCTAATTCATGAGGTTTGTAAAGCAAAATGAAATAAAATACTTCATGGCCAAAAAGATAAATTTCAGGGCTGAATTCTACCATCAGTTGCATTGGAGTAAATCCCCAATAATGAAGCTACTGCAAATTTAACCTGGTATAACTGAGAGCAGAATTTGGCAGTAGATTTGGCTCTAAAGGATCAGCAGCAACTTGAAATAGCAATGTGGTCATTTAGAAGTAGTATAGCTTTTTCCTATATAGTGAGCGCATTTATCTGATGCAGGGATGGCAACAGGAATATGGGTTCGTAGACTCTTACCTACAATGTCAACAATTGTTCAGAACACAATGTGTGTTTTTATTTTCAGAAATGTTAGGGTGCTAACACTGGCAGAACTGTTGTGAGTCAGACATTACCACTTTGTACAATAGATCTGAAAATATGTTTATCTAACAGAGCTTGAAGTTTTATACTCCTGGTTAGTATATCTGATTTAATTACAATCTTCTATGACACAAGAGAGGATAAATAATATTTAAGTGAAACTAAAACTCATAGCCACGGAGCTATCTGATTCTCGTAAAGGTGCTTTTAAAAGCTACTTTTATAACTGTGTAGCAAAGTCCAAAGATGTTCTTTTTAATTTCAATTTGTACTGACAGCAACATCTGCAGATCAGAAATGTGGGAGCTGAAATTATTTGAAGATTGTCAGGCATTTGAGAGAGACCTGGACTCCATGTGTGTTGTTGATTCTATAAGGGTAAAGCAGTTCAAAACCATTTTTAGTTCCAGAAGAAGCTGACTTAGAAGTATCAAGTAAAATAGGAAAATTGTTAAAAGAAAAACAGCTGTGTATTGATATCTAAGATTAAAATGTTCATCCTATTAATGGCTATCTGATAAAGGAATAAACCTGTTACACTGGTTAGGCTAAATTTAGCAGCCTCTTTGTCACAGACAGGACAAGAGGCAGTGAAAGAGGGCAGGGTGCAACTGCTCAACTCAACTCTGTTTCCACTAAAATCTGAATTTTACCCCGCATAGATCCTTCACAGCCAGAGAGCAGAGGTGATATGCCAGGATGGGGTGTGAATTGTGCATTTTATACATCCGTTTCTTGGCCCAAATTATTTAGGTCTCCTCCCCCTATTATTGTAGGTTGAATTGAGTGGTTGCACATAATGCTTTTGTAGGATGAATTGAGTGGTTGCACATGTACCCAAAAGAGATACAGCTACTCCTGCTTCTGTAGGGCAATGCTGCCAGGAAGGCTCCTATGCCCAAATAATTCAGGATTTCAGGATCCTAAATAAAGAGATATCTTAGTTTCTACATACTGGAGCCCAGTACTAAGAATGAAGAAAATTAGGTCCCACATTGTTTAATTTCTGCCTATTTTTGAGTGGCAACCACCACCACCTCCCATTAATGAGTCCATACCAGTATATAAATTGGTGTGTGTATATATATAATATATATATACATAATATATATATACACACACCCATTTATGCTTTCACAAAGCTTTTTCTCATACAGACTCATTTGAGCAGGATATATTGTTTGAACAAAGAAGCATGAGACATTAATCAATGCCAGTATTCTTCCTAGGAATGTACACCTGCTCAGATTTTGCAGAGAAGCAATCAATGAAGGTTCAGACTTTGACCTAGAAAGGGCATTGTATTGCAAGGGTGCCCAAATTATGCCCTTAGGGCCAAATGTGGCTTTCAGAGTCCTCAAGTGCCTTTTAGTTCCCTGCGTCAAAGCTATGAAGGAACAACCCATGGAAACTAAAGTTTTAACAGTTTAGAGCCAAAGTCTGCTGTTCTTCTCTAATAGTTCTCGAAATGCCTTGAGCTTTTTCTTTTCCATTCCTGATAAACTCAAACACAAACAGTTCCTTCCCATCCACCAAGGAAAATAATCTGTTATGTTTTCAGCTGTAGCTATTTATACATGGTGCTACTGTGCAGAGGGGATAAAGGTTGGAGGGCCACCTTTTCCTCCTTGTCATCCTCTGTGTGGGAAAGAGCTGAACCAGGACAGCTGCCCCCTTCCTGCTTTTCTTCACAGGATGTTGGATGAAGGATCAGGCCAGGCTCCTCCATCCTTTGTTTCTGTTCCTTTTCACACTAATGAGGACTGGGGAGAGGAAATTGCATCCAGTGGAGGAGTGGGAGAAAACAAGGGCCCCATGAGTGGGTAAGAATTCATATACTGTACTCAGAACTGATAATCTGGGGGTTTTAACTATGTTCATTGACTTTTTTTAGGAGTGCAGTGTGCAGTTATGTAATGTGCAAACACTATCGGACATTTGTAAGCTATGTCTTAGCAATACAAAAAAGCTCTTTCAGGCCAGGAACTGTGTCGTATATGTTTGTACAGCACCTAGCATGATAGTGCCCCAACCAGACTGGGGCCTCAGGCATAACTGGTCAGATCTACTCAATAAAAACATGCAGTTTTGGCATCTGTATATAAAAACTAAAGATTTTTTCAAAAATTAAACACTTAGGGCACTTTCCTGCAATCCTTATATATGTCAAGAGTCCCAATAATGACTTCAACTGGGACTACAGGTGTAAGCAAAGGTTGCAGATTCAGCACCCAGAAGGGAGGTAGACAAGCTCAAGAGTGTCTTGAGATTCTATTCTCTACTTCTGCTCCCCAAGGGGCTGAGCACCAAAAAAATGTTAAGAGTTCTCAGAGGTAGTGAGCACATACTAGACCTGTGCAAACCTGGCAGGATTCTGCTCACAGATGAGTTCAGAAACTCATGCCTGCAGTTTTTTTTACGGTATTTGGAAGTGGGCCATCACCTGCAGGTATACCTTAAAGCTCAAGTTCAAACGCAAACTCTCAAGTGAACCTTGCAACCCTTAAGGGAACCTTCCATCCTAAAGTTAGCTCCTCCCAGCTGTTCCAGTCACTTCCTCCTTCCACACTTCTGGGTGGACAGTTTCCCAGAAAGGTGTTAAAACTCAGCCCACATCCATCAAGGCCAAGATTTTCAAAAATGGGTGTCTAAAGCTAACATCAGTGGATAGGTGCTGTGCATACAGCATTGCCTAAAATCAGGCTGTTTGTTTAGGTATCTGCATGGACTTGACAGTCTAACTTCAGGGACCCATTTCTGAAAATGTTTCCCCAAGCTTTCATGAACATGGGTTGATATTTGTAAACACATGGACTCAATTGATTTAACATGTTAATAGTTTGCACACCTCTAGTGCACATGTCATTACACAACACAACTTTCCATTTAATTTGTTTCATGAAAGCTAACATTTATGAATGCTTAGTATAATTTCAAGTACCACCACTTTAATACATTTGTTGTAATAATGTTGACTGTACATGATCTTAAAAAATGGTGTCTTTTTTATCAAATAAATGTGTTCCATCTTGTTCTCTGATTAACCACAGCACTACAAACACACAGCATAAAATTACAAAGCAAGACACTCTTTAATGCCATCTAGATGGCATCTGATAAAATACTGGAGAAATGTATGAGTAGTTACCTTAATCTGCATGCCACTGAGCAGATTTCCTCTGTTGAGATAACTAAATTCTGTTACTCCCCAGCCGATTTGTCCAGGGTAGGAATGTTTGTGGGGCAGTATAGAAGTCGTCCAGGGGGCAGTACGCCACAAGTACTCAAGGTCAGCGGTGGCCCCTTGTGCTGGAGTGGTTGCTCCGATGTAGCAAGTATACTCAGGGAGCTTTGTTCTGTAATCACGAATAGCATCTGGGCCTTAGGGGAAAAAAAGATTAAAAATTGGTTATATAAAACTGAAGAGTTACATTTCTTACTATTTCAGTATGTGTTGTTCCATCCTTCATTTTCTCAGTTACTTTAATCCAACAACTTTTAAAGAGCCGTTTCACTGCACAGGAGTAGTTCACGCTTATTTTGTCTGTCAGATATGTTAAGGGCTGTTATAAAGAGGACAGTGATCAATTGTATTCCATGTCCACTGAAGGTAGGACAAAAAGAAATGGGCTTAAGCTACAAGGGCAGTTAAGCTCTGGAATAGGCTTCCAAAGGAGGCTGTGGAATCTCCATCTTTTGGAAGTTTTTAAGAACAGGTTGGACAAACTCCTGTCAGGGCTGGTCTAGCGTTACATGGACCTGCCTCAATGCAGAGGGCTGGACTAGATGACTTCTCAAGGTCCTACATTTCTATGATTCTATCTTGGTTACAACATGCTCCCAGGTGGGAAAAAAGCTTTTGTATGGGCACTACTTTTTCATGCTCCTAAAGCATTGACTCTTGAAAAAGAGGCCATAAGGGGGAGCAAAGTAAACCATCATTCTCTGACAGGAAGCAGGATTTTATTGTTTTTGGCTTAGAATTAGGGCCTGCCTAATAAGATGATTTCTTGCACCCTTCCAAAAACCAGTAGAGCTGCAGCTGTAAGTGTCATAGTCTGGACCCCAAAGGCCAGCGCTGGGCATCTTCGGGAGTTGGCCAGGAATAACTTATAAATATTAGGAAAAGCTACTGTGGCAAAGCTTCTAGCTTGATGAGCAGGGACTAGAGCAGTGGACTGTGAGTGAAGAGGTGAGATTTCTATTCTTGGTTTGGCCACTAAATTTCTGCCTGACCTTGAGCAAGTCACTTGCCTCAGGTTCCCCATGTGTAAAGTAGGAATAATGGTGTTTACACACCTTGGTGCAGTACTTTGGAGTCTATGGATGAAAATAACTATAATGGTTTTGTATTACATTTAGAAGAATATCCTTGCAAAAAAGAGGTAGAAACTTACCTGATACAAAATTAAAGCTGACATTAGTATTGATATTCTAAGAAATCCCAAACACTGAGGAGTCTTTGAACCTGACAGGTTCTAAAGGCTGGTTCTGCCCTAATAGCTAATCCTTAAGGGTATGTCTACACTGCAAATAAAAGATGTATTCTTAACTCAGGTTAGCTAACCCGTGTTAGCTAACTCAGTTAAAAGAGCAGTGAAGACACAGCAACTCGGGTTATAATTTTAGTTAACAGCCCTAGTTCAGCCCCCGCCTGCCCTATATGCTTTAAATTGAGCTGCTAACCCAAATTAAAAGCAGAGTTGCCATGTCTTCACTGCTATTTTAACCCACGTTAGTTTATGTAGGTTAGCTAACTTCAGAACACACTTTTTTTCACAGTATAGTCCTACCCTAAGTCACAACTACAGTATGTTGATGACAGCTTCCCAAAACTGGTTGTATTAATATCTCCTTAACATCATTATATTGTGAAGGAAAGGTGTGATGCCATTTCCATCATAAACCTCTATTATCAGGGAATTAAACTTTGACATAATAATTTATTCAGACAAAACTAAAGCAAACTCTAACCCCAGAAGAAAATATTTGCTTTATGAGTTTGGGGGGGAAAGGTATCAGATTGTTTTTAAGTTGTAGTCATTGCAATGGGGTGTACAGGTCTTTTGGGCCCCAAAGGGAAGTTGTCTCAGACATGACACTCACCACCCCAATATTTCCACAAGGAGGAACCCCCAATGCCCCAAGTGGAAAAGCAATGCTACTGGAAAAGCAACAAGTCTTGACTACACTTGAAAGGGTTTGCCAGTGGAGCTATTACTGGCAGACCTTTCCTAGGAAAGATGCAGCTTACACCAGGAAAAGAGTTATCTTGCTATATTCCCTGAACTGAGTAAGCTATACCAGGAAAAAAAAGGCCTTTTTTGCCAGCATAACTGCATCTTCCATATGAGGAGGGATTAATAAGACTGGGACTTTTCAGCTTGGAAAAGAGATGACTAAGGGGGGATATGATAGAGGTCTATAAAATCATGACTGGTGTGCAGAAAGTAAATAAGGATGTATTATTTACTCCTTCTCATAACAAGAACTAGGGGTCACCAAATGAAATTAATAGGCAGCAGGTTTAAAACAAACAAAAGGAAGTATTTGTTCACACAACGTACAATCAACCTGTGAAACTCCTTGTGAGGTGATGATGTGAAGGCCAAGACTATAACAGAGTTCAAAAAAGAAATAGATAAGTTCATGGAGGATAGGTCCATCAATAGGTATTAGCCAGGATGGGTAGGGATGCAAAACCAGGCTCTTAAGTGTCCCTAGTGCCTGTTTGCCATAAGCTGAGAACAGGCAACAGGAGATGGATCATTTGATGATTGGCTGTTCTTTTCATTCCCTCTGAAGTACCTGGCATTGGCCACTGTCGTAAGACAGGATACTGGGCTAGATGGACCATTGGTCTGACCCAGTATGGCTGTTCTTATGTTCATCTACACTAGGGCTCTTGTCAGCATAGCTATGTTGGTCACCATGGAGGAGGGGGAATCACACCTCTAACTCACACGACTATATTGGCTAAACTTTTAAGTGTAGGCACAATTGGAACTTTTCAGGAATAGCTATTCTGCCTTAAGTTCAACCCCTACCTTAATGTGAATGAACTTTCAAGTGTAGACAAACCCTAACTACTACTTCCTCACATAAGGGATACATTTCCAAACTTCAGATCCCTGTCAGATCTAGTAGGCTCCTGGGACTCATATGCTGAAGAAACCACCATGTTGGGAGACACAGTGGGAACACTAACCAGTGAGGTGTCAACTGAGTTTTATTCCTTTCAGGTTTAGGGATGATTATTCCTAATGTAATGGACTAGGGCAAGTGCTAATTTAAAACCTTCCAGTGTAATAGAAAGGGGTAAAGAGAGAGATGCTGGAAAAATAAAGTAAAACTGGAGAGACTTTCTCATTCCAACATTGATTTTGCTATGCCTGTGAATACTAGGCAATAATCACCTATTCAGAAAGGAATACCATTATTACCATCTGGTTGGATATAAGAGAGTTAATTCCCTTCTTCCCGTCACTTTAGCCATGAGAGCACCATAAAGTAGACATTGACACCTCTGGCTTGGAGCATCAGTGTTGTGTTAAGTTTTTATTTTTTATTTTGGCATTTCTCAGCTCTGCCAATTACATTATTACCTCATTGTACATTTCAACTACACAAAATAATCTTCACTAATCACACATGTTGATCTGCTATCCAGATTTACTTTAAAAGAAATCAGTGTCTTTAAATAATCTGTAGAAATATAGTTGGTACACATTGTACATCGCTGGTCTCCTAATGCTTGCTAGTGTGTGATTAACTCCTTGTAAAGAATGTCTTCTATTCACAAAGAGCAAAGTTGTATGTTCAATCTTTCCTTTTAGAGTAAAGAAAACAACAAACAAGGAAGGAACAATTATAAAATCTCCATGAGTAAGAAAGCAGGTGGAATGTGTGTCACTCTGTAAGACCGTCCATCTTGAATCTTGAGGAATTGTGCCATACTGTCCCAGCTGCAGTCATTAGAGACATTTGAATAGGTTCCCGCTTGTTGTAGAAGAGAGGCAGCCCATAGCAGGGTGTTCTGTGTGACAGCTCAAAGTCTCTGGAACATGGTCTCCACCTGGATCCAAAATAGCTGGAATATGGCCACCTCCTGAGAATGCTGCAGAACACTTCTGTTTGATTAGGTTTTTGGAGAGGGCTGAGGGTATGTTCCCAGAATGATGAAGGGGCAGGAAAGGGTGGGATTTTTGTAGAGACTGGCAGAGCTCCTTTTTGAATAATTACTTTAATGCTGCTGGGGATTTGTTTTTCTTTTTGTTGTTGTTGTTGTTGTTGTTGTTTTGTTATAATAATTGTTATAATGTTTTGTTATCACTATTAATCACGGTGCCTAGAGATTTGTATAAGCATTGTTGTATTTAAATCTAAATAAATAATTACCGTAAATAAATCTTCAAACTGTGCTTAAAAATGCAGTGAACAGCTTCATAGCTAAATACACCACAATCATTTAAATGCATTGTGCCCTGTAGGAGAATTACATTGCTCTTCCCAACAAAGTTCAATCTAGCAGCAGAACAATAACTCCAAAATGACTACAACTTTATCATTTGAAGCTAGCAATGGGACTACTCACAGTACATGAAGTTAAGCATGTGCATAAGTCTTTGCAGGATGAGGGCCAAAGTCATCATCCCAGTTGGATGGTGACTGTCTTTAGCCTGGCCTGATATATGGTATAGATCAAATTCTGCGAGTTGCTTAAGGGCTTGTTTACGCATGGATTTGTTCCTGATTCACTCCATATGTGGACACACTTATTTCAGTTCACACATGGAGTTACTCAGGAATAGCTGTTGCGCTTTAAATTGATACCCTACCTTATCAGAAACACTTTCAAGGGTAGACAAATGTTTAGTGTGCACAGCAACACTTGTGGACTTCAGTAAGAGTTGAGGATACTTGGCACTTTGTAGGAGATGCTTAACACCTCAGAAGTTTGGGCCCTGTGGCCAGCAGTAGAAAACCAATGATAAACTGCCGACTGCTTATTCTTTCCTCAAATTGATAAGCCAGTCCTCAGAGCTGCATCACTTTATGAACATTAATTGGTGATACTGTAAACTGAGAAATACTGAAAAGTTAATTTCTGTTTGAAATTGTACTGTAATCAGATATGACTCCAAAATGTGGATGTGTAGCTTAGTTGAGTTTGGTAATCACATTTTATCTCTGCAAGGGTTTCTCAAAAGCTAAAAGCAAATTTATCACAAACTTATGCATACACTTGTCCACTTCAAAAAAAATCTCCTTTAGAAAGGCAGCAGACTGACAAATATGTAAATACAACTCCTCTAGGTACAACACAGGCATCAATAATGCCAGTCTCCCTACGCTGGACTCAAACCTGTAATTTACAGCTA